TTTTTTTTTTTTTTTTTTTTTTTACTCAACGAATCTAATTATTTATAAGGACATATCATTAAAAACAAAAATCATTGTGAGGCGCGTCGCTCGGCCATCTGCAAATTGTCGGCCGCTGTGCACGTGCCTGTATAATAATAGGTGTGTAAAATTTTCGGGAGGAAGACAAATATATTATTATATAATTATTATAAATGCAAAACGACGTGTCATAAAAGAGTTGGCATTAGTTTGAAATCATTATTGTTTGTTTATTATTTTTTAAAACTATGGATAGCAAAAATATGAAAACGAAAATACTAGTCTTTGAAAGATATTTAGTTAAGTAATTAGAGACATTTTATTAAAAGTCCGATCTGATATTTATCATTAAAATTATTCGGGTGTGAAGAGATATTTATTTTGTTTTTTTCTACACGAGTGATCCGTTATATTTTTACAGTAACCAAGGGCTTAATTTAACACAGGAACCTAACAGGATACATGTTGTTTATTTTACATTATTTCACATTTTCTACTGTTGACATTGTAATAGATTTTTTTTTTTTTTGTTTTTCATTCGCAGTTAATCTAATCGTTTACGGCTGTTATATCATTACACTACATTTTAACAATATATAGGCTTACAAATATATTAACACTACAGACTGACAGAAACAATGGGTATTATATTTCATTATTTAGTTATTAAAATAAATAACTACACATTCTATTTGAATATATTATTATTATTATAAACTTTGTTGATCCGTTTAAATAATTATTATTGATTCGAAATAGTACATTTCAATATTATTGTATACATTCAATTCAAAACTGCTGCCATGTGTGATGAGTTTCTCTTTTCTATTGTATATTTTTTATACATATTTTATTATTATTATTATTATTATTTGCTAAGTACATTCCGATTACCCATGTTATTTATTTGTACAATTATGAAATAATTTGTAAATATAGTACCTAGTAAGTTATTAAAGAAATATATTGCATTTGTCCATTTATATTTGTTACAGGAACACTTGTTAGTTTCTCTATTCTATAAACCCCCATGACATTTAACAAGCACTGTGTAATTTTTTTTTATATAAAGTTATATATTTTATATATTTGTCCAGAACATTAAAAGTTTATTGTTTTTTTTTTTTTTATGCTTGTATTACCGTCGATATCATTTATGATTTTTCATAAACGTTTTAAACATTAAATTAGTACAAGTATAACAGTGTAAAAGGGTAGATATTGTGCCAATTTACGAAAACAATTTTTATTATATAAAAACTAAGCTAAGGAGATTTTTATTATTATAGTTTTGACTTTTACTGTGTAACAATTGTATGTTCAATTATTCTTATGTTAATAGAATACGATTAAGATTATTATGATTACAGTATTATGTTTGTGTACAAGTATTATGCATTCGTATGGCGTAAACTGTATAAGGGACGTAGAGCACACACGTTATTATTTTAATTGAATTGTAGTGACAATATTTTACCTGGCGGTTTCACGAAAAACACGTCGGGAAATAAAAAATCGAGCGGGTTAGATAACGAAATTCAGTACAAAATATTTAGATACTTTCAAAATGGTTGAACAAATTTGCTCAATGTTTAGATAGTGTTCAACGCGTTTCATTTAATTTCAAATTACAAATATTATATTTTATCCGTTTAGAATACATTTTTTATGGTCTAGCGTTAATTTTTAAGCTCTCTATGTACCCAATACCTTGAAATAATACCGACTGCAATAGTTAACGAGACAGTGAACCATAATGGGCATTAGACTAAATATTGTTGGCATTCAATAGACAAATCTGTTCCGCATTATCGCATGTTTGTTTAATATATTTTACTTAGTATCAATTTTTTATCAGGGTGATAATTTGAAAATTATTATAATAGGACATAATTTGAAGTAATATAACGAATACTGTGCTACACCGTACCAATTATTATATTATATAACAATAATTTACCGTGATTATTGTGTACATTGTTTTTCAGAACGTGTGTTATGTATTGATATTTTAATTATTATTTTTATTACCAATATTGTGTACCATATTAATATATTACTGAACTACCTTCGTCGATGTTTATCATTTATAATTATTTTTACTTGTTAACAGTTTCTAAATAAACTTTCCAACCGGCTTACATTACACTTGCCGTACCGTAACTGTTCAAATTTAATACAACCGGTTTTTTAATTGACCGACATCTGCAATTGTTCGTACCTAAATTACCTCGTTATGTTTAATTTCCCATGTAAAATTCGCGTTAAATAGTTTTAATATACTGTTACTATTTTTATCAGCGTGCGCATGGAAACCGAACAATACTGTCCGTATTTCTTTTTCTTCTCTACTCGTTTTTATTTTCATAGAAAACCCATTCAATCTGTACAATCATTAAATGTTTAGGTAATTCTCGATGTAATATTTTCGATTTAAGCGAAATAATCCATCTACCTCAGTATAATAGTAGTTCGATAATGCAATCATTTTGTTTGTTTTACGTCAAATGAACACATTAGAATGTAAACACATATTTATGTATTGTATCGATCATGTTATGCATTTAGTGGTTTTATGAAATATTGTAATTTTTATTTATATTAATGTAAATTAATATAACTATTCTTAAAAATTATATATTTTGATCAATACACGATTTAAACAAACTTTTCAGGCGAAACAAAGACAAACCAATATATTTTTTATTAATTATACAATGTTTTTATTAGTCAAAATTATTGAATGTGTCGACGAATTTTTTTCAATGTGCAATGTGTATTTGATAAAGTATGTACAATATAAAAGAAAAAAAAAACAAAAATGATTATATTGTGTTATAAATGTAAACAACCGTCTTATTTTTTTTTTACATTTTTCCGCACGTGTACTGCGTACATGACTTTGTAACTCTGCCGCTCAACACGGCCGACTCTAAACGTGTCTTGAACTTCGATGGGATGTTTCTGTTTTTTAGCACTCCTGAGACCATACTGAAAATTGATTAATTAATCATCAAGTAATAACAAAAATGACTGACAAAACTTCATGAAATAGATTTCAATGATTACATTTTAAAATTAGTAATACTACAAAGTGTACCTGATTATTAGTTTTAATTGTGGGTATTTCTTTAACGTTTAGTGTTTAATTGGTTCATTGCAATGCTGCCGAAAAATACACAATCTTTATTTATCTAATTTAATAGTGTAATTATAAATCCGGTAATAGCTAAATCAAAATTTGTTACAAAATGAGTACCAAGAAAATTGTGACAAACAATAACTACAGCTCATGACTTCTAGAATTTCAAAACCAATAAGCAAAATGCGAATTTTTATGTTGAAGATTTAAAAATTTGAGTATTATTTTGCTTGTAGTGTATTATTTCAGTACTGCGCGATGGGCAAAAATATCAATGAGATCTAAACATGAAAAATTCAATTTTTTTTTTCTATAACTATTTTAATAAAACAAATATTCCAGACTAAAGCACTTATTTATCTTCAATTAAATAATCAATATATATATGATTACGTATAATTCTAGCTTACAGAGACTTCATTGACACTAAAAATTTGAATTTCGTCTCGGCGCGAAAAGATTCTAACCGCTAATTATCTGTGGAAAGCATCTGTCAGTTTTAAGAGATTTTTTTGCGGTCCATCTTTGATATTTTTATGCATTTAAAAACTTAAGAAACCATAAAATGCTTATATTTTTAAAGAAGCCAAAGAAAAGCTCAAAATTAAAAGTCATAGAAATGCCCAACATTAGAAGAAGCCAAATAAATGTACAATGTATAAGATGCCATAGAAATTCACAAAATATAATAAATCCATTTCAATTTGTAGATAAAATAAGTCTTGTTTTTAAAATTTTGTACTATTATGTAATCATATAAGTCTTAGACACATTAATGAAATTACTAGGAATCCGTGATAATACGTCAAGTTAACATGACTTCGTAAAATCTGATGTTTAACCAAAGATATGGTGCTCTCACATTATCTAACATATATATAGATATAAGGGTTAATTAAATATAGTTAAAAAAAAATTCAGTTTTATAAAAGTAAAGAGTGTCAATTACAATAGACTTTATAAGCATAATAGAATAGAATAATTAAAATAAAAGAATATGATTTTTTAATAGTCGTACAAAAAATTCATTAATATATTCTCATTAATGCAATATAAATTGATTTATAAACAAAATAATTCGCCAGTATTATTAAAATAATGGTTTATAAGTTTAATTTTTTTAATAAGTTAAAAATTATGAGGTAAATACGTCTACTAAAAGTAGTTGGTCGTTTACGTGTCTTTATTTAATAATATATTATAAGATAGCAACGTTATCGGCTCAAACATTGAACATATTGGGTATTTATTTCTATAAATATACTCTATTTAATTTTCAAATAACTAGGAATATAATAAATAAAATAAAATCGTGGTAATATTGTTGTACTCGGTAATTATTACAAGAAATTTTATTTGAACATTGAATATGAATACTTTCATTAAGACTTGACCATTGCCATAAATACTTAATAGAACTTTGTTATATCTACTTAAAAAACTGTGTGTTGAATTTTAATGATTGAAATTGGTGTATTTCGTTACATATTAAATTAAAATTTCATGAAAAAACAGTTGAACTTTTGTTTGACATAATTTTGCCTGTTGGTGCATATGAAATCATTTGTTTTCCTCGCCTTTAACCCAACTACTTGAGGTCACACATATTGAAAACAATAATTCTAAATGCTCATTATAGTACTTAAAATAGCATGTTTTCGTACTGTAAATGATGAGTCTCATGATAAAACTGTCTTCACTCATCCAGAACTACAAGCAACAACGAACAGTTACCTAATTTATCATTTCACATTTCAATAAAATCAAACATTTGTCTAGTAATAATTTTGCGAGAACCGAATAGAAGTTAAAAATATGTTTGTGCGTAGAAACTAGGTACCGATTAATTGTCGGGTTCTAAAAAGGTAGTAAAATATTTGAATAAATGTTGAGTGTTTAAAATATTTCTAGATTACACATTAAAAGTAATGTACGTGTTGACAAAGTACACACTGACATACCCAAAACTAATTAATAAGGGATATGGAATGAGTAATTTTCTTGGAAAACGCTATTTAAAATATTCACGTGGCTTTTAATTTTGGCGAAAATAACAGAAAAATATTTCAGAATAAATATATTAATGAGGAGATATATACTTCTCAGCGATATTTGTCTAAAATTAAACATCCATTTCTAAATTGGAAGGCTGTGTAATATAAGATGTATTTGTCGTGTAACATAACTTACTTGCTTAATACTTCTTTATCCATTTCAGCTTCCGGAGAAGTGCGTGACATTGCTTCACAAACGGATCTTTCTAAGCACATGGACTGATCGTCATAGACACTCGCTAATACATTACACATCCAACAATTGGATTTTTCTTTGTCATTTAGCTAAATACAAAAATAATTAAAATCAATGTATATTTATTTTTCTATTCATTAACATAAAACATTTATAAAATTTGTATTTTAAATTATCAGATTAAAATTAAATTATAAATTGTATAAACTAAATTAAAATCGACTCATTTTAATAATTGATAGTGTTGGTCGAAATATTGATAATTCAATCAACACCCATATCAGAACAAAAGTTTGATACTGAATTTGAAGTTTAATGATTCGATGCGCATATGTAAATATCTTTAAAATTACACTGCCACTAAATTACTTATACGTGAGGTCGCCTAAAAAATATTTTTTAAAGGTAACTAGTATTTTTTATAAATAAAAACACAATTTCTTAAATACAGCTTTGTGTATTTTACAATACTTCTCATGGTAACGTATTATAAAACCGGTCATTTATCTGCGCACATCAAATGATAACAAAACGTTTTAGACCATAAGAAAGTAAAAATTATTTTTTTCTTTTTATTAGTAATCTAATTAGTATAAAACTAAATCATTATATATACACATAAGTTTCGCCAAATTGTCGAAGTTAAAAATATTACATTTTAATAGCATAAAAATGAGAAACGGCTTTAATGAATTCTACTTGGGAATAATTATTTCTGAATAATTTTTTATTAATTAAATTTAGTATTTTGAAAGGTGTTAGGATTATGAATACTCTGTAGTTTGATGTATATGTCTATTTGAATATTTTCAATAGCATCTATAAATATATTTGGGTGGCTGTGATTGAACTCTTTATTAAATTACTAGAGAAATGACTCGCAAACATTTGTAGTTTTAGTCAAATCCGATGAAACTTCAGCCCAAACTTTAGGCAGAAAGTTAACATGATTTTTAGATATAAGTATTTAATAAATGTAAATAAAATAAATCTAAACGATCAAATAAATTTTGTCTCATTGTTATACAAATCATATATTACGCAGCTATCCAAATCTTCAACATTTAAATAAATTAGACCAAAACAATAAGCAACTTAGTTATTTTATATTGTTTGGTCTTATATTTAAACCGATATCTTTGAATTTTCCACCACCAAGCTCGCGATAAATGAAATCGAAAATCTTATAATTTTGCCTCAGGTCATTCATATTTACATTATACATTTATATGCATTTCTCAAACCTTTTTTAAATCATCAATAATTTTATTTCAGTTTCAATTCACCATTAGCGTTTTTAAAGAAATCAGATATTACACGGAAACAATTTTTATAATTTAATTATTTTTTGCCTTTTAATAAACAAAATATTAATGGAATGTAATGACCATTAAAATAGCCATGCAACGTTAAAAACTGGGTGAAATACTGTGATCAATAATCAAATGTGCCGTCAACACATATTACTTGAAAATTACTGAATGCTGTTAAATTAGTTTGGCATATAAAAATTACCAAATTATATATTCTACCAAAATAACAATAATAACCTATAGCGCAATCTAGTTCATAAAACGATTAAAGATAGAATTCTATCTATAATTGTAATAGAAACAAAACTTATTTTAATAATTAGATCCTTTTGTCACATATCAAAGAGTAATTTCATTTAATTTCATTTCATTCTTTACTACATAAAATTATTAAACATTTAATGACATTAATAAATGTTATATAAATATACAAAACAGCTCTATAACATTAACATTCTATATATGTTAACATAATATTATTATTTTTTAAATATTATCTGAAGTCACATTAAAAAAATATATTGTATTTTAACTATTTTTGCCGTGTAAATCAAAACGACGCTTCTATGAAAATTTTATTATTCGTTAAATATAAATACATTGAATTTTGAGTTTGATAAAACATTTAAGCATTTTATTTGGTGTAAATTTATGAAATATAAGCAACCTGTTTAATTTTTAACAAATAAACATTGTTCATGAAAATTTTATCAATAGTTACAACTATAATATTTTATTTTGATATTTTCATCATAAGTAGATTAAGTTCTTATTAAGCAACGATTTACTTTAATTTAGTTTCTAAAGGCATTTTTAAGTTATTTTAAGTATTCATTTTTTAAAATTTTTAATAGGTGTTCTATAAAAACAATTAATATTTTTAAATTGGTTTTGTGATGGTGTGTGTTTTTTTATGTTTGTCCATAATAATTCTCAGATCTAACTAAACCGATTTTAATGATCAATGCATCAAAAAAACATGATTTTAATCTAATGCAACCAAGAAAAGATATCGAAAATTAAAAAAACTCTCTCATTTTTAGTAATTTAAAAAAATGTTTTCAAATTACGCTAGCATAAATAATATTATATTCAAAACTTATTTTCTGTATTTTAAAAATGATGAAATTTTTTTTCTAAACACTTATCTAAATGAGATTTGGATAGAGTATACTAAAAACAATAAGCTCTCTCTGGTATGCTTTTTGTAAGAATCAATGTAAATATTTTTTTTAAATAATTAAGATCTATTTTAATCTATATAAATATATCGTTTTTAAAGTGTACTACAATAATAATTAAAAAAAAGTCTTCCTAATGATTGTTCCACTTTAAAATCAGCCGTCAAAGCAAACAATTGAAAATTTTTCCAGAAATTTAATTTTTGATTTTTGAAAATGTTTTAAAAGGTCTAAAAATTACTAACCTATACAAAATGATATCTTTTTAAGAGTTCTTTATGATGAAAAAATAAAAATACTACCTGCTAATGTAAGACAAAGAATAAAAATACGTTATAATCAATTAAGCAAATAATTTAATAAGTATTCAATATTCCTATGAATTTATAAATCATAGTACTTGTAAAATTAATAATATACTAATTATGAAATTTAACAGATTCCTATCGATGCGTTTTTTATAATAATGATGTTAATCACTGTCAGTTATCATTTATACTAATATGTCCCGACTTTGCCGCATCACCTCTGTTCTGTTGTTTTTATAATTTAAAATTATAAAAATTATATTTAATTTAAAATGTGCATATGATTTTAGTACTAAGAATATAAATAAAACTTATCTATCAAAATTTCGAAAAACGCCTTTTTTTCATTTTACCTTGCAAAGGATTTTTATCCAATAAATCACTTTATACACATTTCTAATGATTTCTACAAATAATTAAAACTGCGTTTACATTTTTAACTTTATTAAGTTTGTGTCGATTAGTATAAACGCACACTAGGCTAGTCTAACACAAGGCAGTTATTTTACTACTAAAATATTTCATACACCGACTTTAAAAATTATCAGTTGGTGTGGTAGTCCGAAGCGATTGGTCACCAAATATTTGATTTCTCCCCACCTGTTTTTTAATAGTACTAGTACACAGTAATACACTAGTTTACTACGTTGTAAACATAAACAGCCGGTCGCAAGACCATGTATGAGTGTTGCTTTCGATTATCCAAGTGATTCACAATAAAACTTAAAAAATCAAACATTATATTCAATAATACGTGTTGTATTAAATGATGTACTAATAAATTTAATTTTCCGTTTGATAATTCAAAATCAAGTGAAATGACGTCATTAGTTCAGTGCGACATTGATTATTGCCAAGGCAACCATGAAGATAGCTCTTGGCATGCTATTATGTTTCGGTAAGCAAACGATTTGTTATATGTTTGTCATCAATGAGCTTATAATGCTACTATTTTAAATTAAAACATTTCCAGTAAAAAAACTGCCTAGTCTTATTGTTAAAACAGCTGTTATTAATGATGTGTAATTTTAAAAAGTATTATATTTTTTGTCGAGTCTACCATAGAATTCTGTGGGTTTGTCTAATTCAATGATAACAATTCAGAATGAAAAGTTGAATCATTTAAGTCAATTATTTATTAAGTAATAATATCTAGTAGTACTTTTTTTAACCGTCAGCTACATTATATTAACTAATTGTCTATAGAGGATATTAAATAAAAACGACGGTATAAAACTGTAATGAATACTATTAAGTTAAACAATTTTGTGTCAGCTCAAAATTATGATCAATACTATTTTCAATAATCATTGAATAAATTGTGTTTTATAACTACAAGTACGATAACTTCAGTTTACATGTTTTATGAATGGACACACGAAATTTGTAGAATAACCAATTTTAGCTCATAAGTAATAATTCTATAAAAAATTTATGTTTTCGATTTCTTAGTTGATAAACTTTCCAAGCAAGTCTTCTTGTCAATCAAACTAAAAACCTATTAGAAAATTAATTTATTTGACAATCATTACCTTTAGATAATGCCTTATTAAACATATTTTTTTACTATACGCCTTTTTATCCTTTTTTTTTAAATATTTTTTTAGTGAATCATTATATTGTAAAAAAACTCTCTTAACTTACCATGTCTAAATATTTTTTTATCGATTCTGCTATTAGTACGCCATTGTCTTCGGTCACATCCCGCCTTTTACGCAAAGGACCCAAACGTAACAATAACGGGTTGTTGATGAGGACGGCTAAGGCACCTAACAATGCTATACCTGCTAAAGGCACAACCAAAGGTTGTTTGTCAAGTTCGAAAATGCTATGACCACTACCTCCTGGGGCCGTTGGTGGTCCGTGATATTCATGGTAAGTGTCGCCTGGTGGACCATGGTAATGAGGACTATAGTAATCATTAGGCTTATCATCATAATAAAAATTGCCGTCACCTATTGGTCCATAGTAATTAGTATGTAGTCCCCCGCCCAAATAGTGTCCTTTGTTATAATCTGTGAACATATTTATTTTGATAAAAAAATTATTATTTTTATTGAGTTTTATTTTGAGTTTTAAATTTATTGAAACAAAATTATTTTGTTAGAAAAATAAGAAATTCAGCCAACCTTTACTAGATGGAAGATAATTTGAGTTCTTGTGACGTTGTAATTTTCCAGAATAATCATGATCAATCTCATTTACTTGTGATTGACTTGCTGCCACACTATCTGGTATAGGCTTGTCAATGAATAGTACCTTAGAACCATTTTTAGGTTTTTCTGTAGACACTGACATACAAAAATGTTCAAACTGGGAGATTCCTATGTATGCAAAAAAACATAAATGTATAACCTGAACCATACTTGGGCGATAGACGAACGCGAGTGATCGCAAAAGAAAATCTATTACAAGTATTGTATAAAGAAAATATTATATTTTACTTAAACTTTGTTTCACAAGCGAGTATTGTTTAAGTGAATTTCACCATAGAAAATTATCCATTGTTTAGGATATATACCTACGCAATGCTGTCATCATATATGCTCGACTCATCCGCCATTTGTTTTGATAATTGGAATGTTGCGCTAAGTTGGATATAAATAATACAAAACTACATAATATATAATATACAAGGAAATATTGAGAGACTGTGTTAGCTGTACATTATTGTTTGAGACGCTCAGAAACCAAGATGATAAACTCCTTTTGTTTCCAAATCGCCTTCTTTCAAAGTATTCACTTTTTTAAAGCATGCTAACAACTAACACTTTATTCATTATTAATTATAATAGCATAGTTGGATTAAAAATGTAAACAATTTTGAATGAAAGTGATTTGAAAACAAGTGAAAATAATTAACTTGGTTTCTGAGCGCCTTATTGAACATAAGCTTAAAAGTTCATTTTTACATAGTATTTTGAATATAAATTTTAAATAAATTAATACTTGAGTTTTTCAATAAAGAAAATGAATATTTTTTTAAGGTAGATTTAATACGCGTAAGAAAATTTAATTTGGATCAATGGTTTAAAAATTTTGATGTTATAGTGACTGTAAAAGTCACTACCCGAAGCAGTTCCCGGGAACTACTTGCGAAATTTGCACAGTTCAATTATTTAGCTTATGTAACTTTGAGATACAATTAAAATTAAGTAAAATTCGAAGGTGGATAAGTTTATTTCTCCTTTTTAATTTTTTTTTTGATAACAATATAATTTTTTGTAAGTAGGGGGAAATAATAAAATAGTAAGGATTTAAAGCTACACATCCTTTGCCGAGCTCTTGGGTCACAGCCTACAAAAACAATCTGAACATGCCAATGTGTTAATGATATTAGTTGATTATATCATTTACAATCTAAAAAATTCTACAATATAAATCTTACTGTTAGGTCGTATGTGACAATTTAATTTATTCACTGTTTTAATTTTGTGGATGGAAGACCTATTTGCGTACAAAAATGAACGTGGATTATTCTTAGAAAAAGACATTTATTTCATTATTATGTTTGTGTAATAACTAGTTTTTAAGATATTTATATTATTAGGAAAGTTCTGCATTGAATATAAATAAATATTAATGTATAAAATTAAGGGAAAATATATTTTATACATAGAAATTTGTAAACTTTTTCGTAATACGTTCTAAGAATAAAGCAATTTTATAAATTTGAGAAAATTTGATGCGAATGTGTGATTTTAAAATTAAATTTCAAAAAAAATATTATAGAATAAATTTTCAAGGTATAACAAAAAATTATTATATTTTATTAAAGATTTTTATTTAAGGTTTAATAAAAGATTACTCAATTATTATATTATATTTAGTAAGATTTGGATCTGTGTATACTTCTATGCCGCTATCTGTATCAAATAGAAAATATTATTTTTAATAGCTCAATATTACAAATAATAGATAGCGTTAGTTGTAAGGCATGTAAATAATGACATATATATATATAATANGCGTTAGTTGTAAGGCATGTAAATAATGACATATATATATATAATATTATATATAATTTGCATTATATATTTTAATGAGTGACGAAAACTTTTTATCAAAAAATATATAAGACTGTTAATGTTTTTCTTTTAATCTCACAAAAATTACTAAACAACATTTATAAAAATAAAATTGTTGTAATTTCGAATTCCCGAGCTTTACTAATGTTTATATAATTGTATATTTTTGTTTATTTATCGTTACACAAAATGATCTATGTATTAGAATTATATGATTAACCCAAAAAAAGTTACAGTCGAATGTTCAACTATTATTTTTCTGAAATTATAATTGTGTTTGCTATAAGGAATGATTTATAAACTACATTTTCTGTTATACTTAGTAAATATATTATTCGTCGTTTTTTTTTTTTTTTTAAATTACTTATAACTACATGACAATATTTTATCGTTATAAAACATAGTATTTTCTATATTTTATATGCAAGTACTGTAAATACTTACTATACGTGTTATAAAAAGTAGTTATTTAAATTACAATATAGTAGCAATTAAATCGCGTATTATGGTTAAGTGTAACATTTCGTTGAAAATATTTTTTAATCTGTTCTTATTATTTTTATTTTCGGATGACGTGCAAACATTGGAAAAAAAAGACGTTATTGATCAACTCAATAAAATATTGTCATTTAGCAATTCCTGGAAAAATTTTAATAATATCATTTTTATGTTCACCCAATATGATGATGAGGTAACAGTTTATGATTTATTTGATATCAAAGCAACTGGCGATGACATTCGAAAAACAAAAAACATACCTGCTAATTTTACGGTTAATGATAATAACTATCAACAAAAATTAGAGTATACAATTGGATTTATCAAATGCAAATACTTAGAAAAATTAAGATATATTTTCCGTCTTCTGCATTTAATGTTAAAAAAATGTAAAACATCATTGAATGATTTATATAATAAATCTACACAGTTGGAATCCACTAATCTTAACAAAAATATAACCACTTTGGTTGAAAAAATAAGTGATCGTATAAATGAACTAATAGGTATTATGATTAAAATATTGAATATTCTTCATAATATGGACATACATTCTAAAATTAGTTCATTTCTTTATCATAAACTAAATAATTTATTCAATTATCATAATGATGTACAAAATATTGATGAATTCTTAGTAAAAATACAACTAATATGTATGCAACTCAGGTCATTAGGGCGTGAAAATTGCAAAATCAATGTTTATTTAATAAATGAAAGATGTTTAAAATCCGAATTTGAAGAGGTGTCAGAAATTCCTGAGTATAAAACTAGTTTTAATAATTTTGAAGATTATATTGGTTATAAAATTGAGACAGAAATTACGGAGATTTTTGAAAATTATACGTTTAACTTAGCATAACATACAATTCATAGCCAAAATTACTATAGACGTTATTGTAATAATCAGGGTTCGGGACTTATAGCACTTAAAATCATCAAAAAAAGCGCTTAAAAAAACACTATAAAACATAAAAAAAAGCACTCAAATAAGCATTTATAAATAAAAAAATTGATCAAAAAATCCCCAAAAATTTCTTAATTTTCTTTTAAATAATAAAGTATTAAATATTTGTAGCTGTGCTGAATATACTTTTTTAGGACTTTAGGATTAAATACCATTAAAATGAAATTATTCCATTGAAAAAAAATACGGGTATTTAATTAATTTATTCTTTTAATTATAAATTAAAATTAAAAATACAAAAAAATATACAAAAAATTAATTCTGAAAGAATCAAAATGATGTCTTATTTCGACTTTCAAGTTGAATGACAAGAAATGTTAAATAATATCTTGTTTATAGATTTTTTGAAAAATTAAATATAAATTTGTGTTGATATCCTAGTATGCCATAGCGGTCTAAAAATATTGTTTACCGAGAAATCCATTATAAAAAGAAAATCAACCAAGTACCACACTAGTATGACACTACAACCATAGCTAAAGAAGTTAACGATGCCGAGGACGGCGTTGGCTATCAAATAGATAAGATAACAAAGACAAAACCCTACAAACAAGGAAGGCAATTGAATTATTTTCTTTATTAAATCTATCAAGAACCGATAAAAAAAACCTGGGTAGGCTGCGTCATAAATAAAATATTTTAATGTACAAAAACAGAAAAAACAAGAAACAAGCATTTGTTTTTTATTACATCATCGAAAAAACAGAAAAACTGAAAATAAGAGTTTTTTGAAAAAATCATAAATAGCAAAAAAAAAAAAAGCATTTTTTAGCAAATGCTATAAGTCCCGAGCTTTGGTAATAATCTTTTTGTACAATAAAAATTATAAAGAAATCTTTATTATATTTGTTGTTAAATTTTTTGAGCAAATGAATTATACCGATTGAAAATGTTACTAGGTAAAAAACTTTAATACATTATGTAATAACTAAAAATAAAGTTGCCGGGGATGGTATTAATAAAGAAGAATAATAATGACATCATCTGTAAAGACATAATAGATACAAGTACTTTATTTCTAGTTATTACTTTATTAGTGTAGTTAGTGTATTAAAACTACTCTTACCTGATATTCACTGGTGATGATTAAATCTTGAGTGAAGATTTTGGTTGTTAAGATATATTTAAAACTATAGTAAGTATGTTAATAAATGAGAATCGAACTTGGTTAGCAGAAGCCTATTTATTATTATAGAAAAACAATCTAAACAAAGCTATTTTTTAAATCCTCATAATATTTTCTATTTAACGATATTAATCTCAAACTTGAAAGTTGAACTAAAAATTTTAAAATTATAAATTTTCATAAAAATCAACTTTAAAGTAACAAAAAATTCGGTTAAACATAAAATTTTAAATCAAAATATTGCACTAATTATTTTTAACATTAAAAATCAAAATAAATTGTTGTATGTAAATCTCGTTTTTTATAAATCAGCAATGATCTCAAAAAAAAAGGAGACGGAGAAATATAATTGAAAATTGGAAATCGGCATAAAAATGTGACTTAGAAAAACATATTTTGGTCTATGCTGAATAAAAAATGTTCAATTTAGTCATATGATTATACTTTGTAATTCAGTATAAAAATGAATTTTATAAGCTGTGGAGATATTCATTTTAAAAAATTTTTTTTGAAATAGCCATTTTTACAATTAATATTTGTCTAAATTTTTAAAATAAGGTTTTTTTTTGGTGACAATAAATTCAATTAGATAATAATCGCGGTGTATTTTGACTTATTGATCATCAAAATTGGTCCAGCGAGATCTGAGAATTTTTATGGACAGGAAGAAAAACGCGTACCTTCACAAAAACAATATATTCTTATTTTTGCATAAAAACAATGAATCTACTCAATTTAGCGTATTATAAAAATTGGAAAAA